GATCAGTAGGCTCGGGCGCTGGGCTGAGAAACTCGGCAGAACTCCTGCCAAAGCATCAGCATCTGCTGCTTTCGGGGAACGAAATAGCCGCCACCAAAATGGGGGCGGAGAAACCGCCCTTAAAAAAAAAGATTGTCGGGGCGCGGGCGCTTGGGATCGTGATCACGGTCCGGTCTTAGAAGCGTCCACCGCTCCCTCCCAGTCTCTGGCCGCGGCCAGGCGGAGAAAATCGGCGGTTGGCGGAGGGTTGAATCGGAGTCAGAAGGTTGTGGGTTCAAGCCCCTGTGTGAGGGAGACTCAACAGTGCAGGGGGTGGTGGTGGCGGGCGGTGGGGGGGTGGCGCAGTGACGGGGGGGGGGGGGGTGGGAAAGGGGAACAGCGGACACAATCTAATTGCTGGAGGTGCCTTCCTTCAGAGGAGATACCCGTTCAAGTGGAGGTCAAAGGATTCCTTGCGGCAGCACTCGAAAAGAGAAGGGAATGAGTGTCCTGGGGCCCACAGTCGCCCACGCAAAACCGCGTGGCTTTCGGGGGACACAGCGCACGATTTTGGTGTCGTACGTGTCGAGAAAACACGTGACGAAAGAATCCTGCCCACCCCCAGGGAGAGGACGAACGTAGAATAAGCCTCTGCTTAGAAAACTCCGAGCATCACGGAGAAACATAAGTCATTTCCCGCCCGGAACGAATGGCTCCTCATTCCATCGCTCTCGCGCCAATCAGTCGAGAAACAAAGAAAAAAAGTCCCTTTTGTTTTTCTTTCGGGTTTTTCTTTTTTTTTTCTTTATCTGACTTCGAAAACTCTTTGCCCGGATGTCCGGGCGAACGGAAAGCCTTGCAAACGACCGTTACGATCTGTCGCGGCTTCGGATTCCCTGCGTCGAACAATAAACAAGGGAATGCCGGGAAACTGGCGGAGGACTGGGTAGAGGGTAGCGCGGAGAATCATGCTCTCTCTCTCTCTCTCTCTCTCTCTCTCTGGTACTCGTAAAGCCTGGCGGAGGTCGCAAGCTGTGAATAAGACCCAATTCCGTGGGGTGTGTGGGGGTAGGGAGGGCTTTGGCCGTCACACACACAACTATTTGCACAAATGCCTTTTGTGAATATGGTCCTTGGCTGATCTTCCCGAATCGTTAAGCGATTCACGCAGTAAACTCGAAGGGAAGGGATGAGAAAATACGTCTGGAATACTAAATTCCCTTGACCGGGCGCGATGGGATTCGGATTCGGAAAGTCCTTGCTCGGGGAGGGGGTGGAGGAAGGGGGTGGGGGGGAGGGGGGTTGGTTGGGGTTGGGGGGGCGAATGTTTGTTTTTCAGAAGGAATGAGGTAAGTTCCCAAACTATTGCGCCGAAAAAAATTCCCCCTATACTCCCCCCCCCACCACCAGCCCCGTAAAAAAACAATTACGAGCAAAACTTTGGCTGCTGCCTTTCGCCCATAAAATACACAGTCGCTACACTTCACAGCGCAGCCTGTGAAGCGCTTTGAGACGTCTCGATGACGTGAGAAGGCGCTGTATCCAATACAAGGATTATAAAGCGCTTCGCGGGATTTACTGCAAAGTGCTGCGACCGTGTCGTTTCCTTTGTACAAAGGTTTCAACGGAGTGGAGTGAGTGATGAAAACAGGCGTAGGATTCACTTTATATCTTTTTTCCTCATTTGATTTGCTTTGGGATCACCGAGATAAAGGTCAGCGGAGGGTGTGTGTGGGTGTGTGTGTGTGTGTGGGGGGGGGGGGATGTGTGTGGGGTTGGGGGGGGGGGGTGCAATTGCAGTGCTATGCATTGCTGGGGTACCTGTAGGCAAGAGGGGGTTGGGACTTGGAACCTCTTTGCCCAAGAACTTGGAACTTCAAGGGACCATTGCAAAGCTGAGCGTCTGAAGGGAATTGGATGAGCGTTTGAAGGGGAACCTTATTGCAGGGTAATGGGGAAAGAGCAGGGAGTTTGTAGTCGGACGTTGCCGTGTGCAAACGCTCCCGACACTCAGTCACTACACTTGGTCGTCAAAATCCTGCAGAGGGCTTTGAGGCATCTCGACAGCACGAGTCAAAAGCAAGGATTATTATTGTTTTAATGGGGGGACGATAATGGAGTTAGCCGCACGGGAGTGGGAGTTGACGTCTACTTAGCCCGAATGAGCTTTCTGGGCTGTGATCTCTCTGATTCCATGAGGCGGCGGTCTTAAGGATGTTCAGATCAGGCCCTATTCCTTCGCATTATATCAGTTGTTTTGCTTTTTCTTTTTTTTTTTTGCCCGCTCCTCAGTCCTGAGGGTCAATCTCGATAACTGTTTCGCGTTAATAAGGAGCGAAATAGTTGTCCTCGGTGAAACAAAGCAAAAAGATCCGGCGTGCAAACCAGTCGTATGGCGGGGAGCCTTACAAATGTAACGTCCCTTACAAACGTCGCACAGGGTTGTTGTGGGTGGGTGGGTGTGTGCGCGGGGGGGTGGGGGGAGGGGTGGGGGTGTCAATTGCAGTGCTATGCATTGCTGGGGTACCCTCGCATTTCACGTCGCGCCTTATCGCGGGTAACGCTGCGAAGCGAATTGACTGATGTGTTTTCTGGCCGAAATCCCGCACGGTTTTAAGACAAAATTCGAAGCCCCCCCACCCACCCACCCACCCCCCACCTCCGCCACAGTGGGGTCTTTAAAAAAAACGTGAATAGCAATCCTTGCGTCCGGCACGGGGATTTTTCACCTGGCCTCTCGGAACGCTTCGCCGGACACGCCTCAACGTGTGAGCGATTGCGTATTCCGCAGGCGAACTTGTGGCTTGTGGGGAAACGCGCCGCTGGGTTTAAATATAGCTCGAAATAAATTGCTACACCGCACTCTTCGAGCTTATTCAACAATTCCTCTCACGCAGATTATAGGGGAAGGCAACATGTTCAGCACACAGCGGATCTCACTCACACAACATGACAGCTGTGTTGAACTTGAGTTCCCGGGGAGACGTTTGGGGTCCATAAATAATGTTCGTCTAATCCAGCGGACCCACAAGCACGGCAGTGTCTCAGAGAGCCTCAGTAGAGGTGTGTGTGTGTGTGCTTGTATGTGTGTGTGTTTGTGCGCGCGTGTGTCTGGCTGGGTATGTACGCGCTTGTGTGTGTGCGCTTGTGTGTGTGTGCGAGAGCGTGTGTTCGTGCGCGTGTGTGTGTGTGTTTGTGCGCGCGTGTGTCTCTGTGTATGTACGTGCTTGTGTGTGTGCGCTTGTGTGTGTGCGAGAGCGTGTGTTCGTGCGCGTGTGTGTGTGTGTGTGTTTGTGCGCGCGTGTGTCTGTCTGTGTATGTACGTGCTTGTGTGTGTGTGTGCTTGTGTGTGTGTGTGTGTGTATGTGCGAGAGCGTGTGTTCATGTGTGTGTGTGTGTGCGTTTGTGCGCGGGTGTGTCTGTCTGGGTATGTAACGTGCTTGTGTGCGAGCGCGCTTGCGTGCGTGCGTGAGTGAGTGAGTTCATGCAGGTGCATGTGTGTGTGTGTGGCCGTGAGTGTGTGTGTGGCCGATTCTTTCTTGCCAACATTTTAATTCAGAACAAGCATTTATTGTGAGGTGGTTAGAGCCCTCGCCTCGCGATTCCCGAGCCGGGCGAAACCTTACCTACCTCCGCACGCCTCTGTTTACCCAGCAGTAAGCAGGAACCCGGTTGCGAGTCGATTGACGGATCACTTTCCGGAAGTAATAAACCCTTATAAAAAAAAATGCGAGCGCTCAACCCACCACTGTTTGTGGGGGACGCTGCTGCGCGCGCAGTCGGCTGCCGCGTTTCGCCCACAGAATACGCTGTCAATTCGCTTTAAGGTGAAGAGCTTTGAGACGTCTCGACGACGTGATAAGGCGCTGTGTCAAATGCCAGGGTCTATTAAAATGAATATTATTATTATTATTATTATTATTACCATTGTCCTGGTCTGTTCTGTTCTGATCGCACGATCGACACCCCCCAATTTTCAAGCCTGAGGTGGATGGAGGGTGGAGGGGGTGGGGGGTGTGGGGCGAAGGCAGGGAATTAATTTTATAGCGCCGGTTTTCTAAGGGCCTTTTAAGTTGCTCGTGTTTTCTAAAGCCTTTATGACAGTTCGAAGCTTGCTGCCACAGTGTAGGCTTTTTAGATTGGGAGCGCATTGTACAGCACAAGTGCTCAGTGTGAAGGCTCGCAATCCTATTATGCTGAGCTGGCTTTACACCAACGCAAACCCTAGAGGGGCTGCTTCTTCCCATCCCGCCTAACGCACACAGCCAGTCAAGCTTTGGGGAGGGTGGGGGGGGGTGGCAGGGGAGGGGAAGAACGTCAGAGACTTTGAGGACAAGCTACCCACCCAGCCACGGGAATTAGATAATAATAATAATAATAATCCTTGCTTCCGATACAGCGCCTTATCGCGCCGTTGAGACGTATCAAAGCGCTTCGCGGAATACGTTGTAAAGGGGTTTGACTGTTTTTTTCGGTGGCGGGCAATCGAGTGAAAGATCCACCGCGAGCGCGGAAAGGGTCCAATCCATTGGGACGGCGACAACTTGGGTTTTGTTGTCGTTGTTGCTGTTGCTGTTGCTGTTGCACCTCCCCAATCCCTCATCCTCGAACCCTCTTCCTGCTGACTCCTTCCAGCTGTTGACCGTCCTCTACTTCAAGAGGCACCAGCTTTAAGAGGATCTTCTTAAGACCTTAAGATCATCTCCACCGCCCCACCCCCCCCCACCCACCCCCCAACCACCTCCCTGATCCCCCACTGGCTCCTTGTCAGACTCCACCACTGTTCCCCACGTGGAAAATGCTGTATAGTTGCAGTTCTTGTTGTTGTTGTCGACCCATTTCTGACCCATTCTGGGGTTTCCTTTTGACGAGAGCTGTCGCGCCAAATAAAAGAGCTGCAGCCGTCAGAGGGCGGCCGGGCTCTGGGTGTCTTTGGAAGGCTGGCACCGCTGGTTAATCACTAGTTACCCACTAGTTAATCACTGGTTTAATCACTGTGCATTCCTTCTGTGCTTCCGCAGGTTCCCTGGGCCAAACCAGCAGCCTTTTAGCATCTCTTCAGCTGCCGGGAAGAGTTATGCAGCCAGCACTTGATATCAAACACTTTCTGCCCTATCGACTAAACACACCTTCGCCCATTGGATTATTCCCCAACTTCAACACAGTAAGTGCTCTGCTATCTGTTTGCTGTTGTTCCACTGTTGACGGATGTGCGGAGTAGAAACTGTATAAAGCGACAAAAAGACTAGATCCATTGGTTTGCTCTCGGCCTGATTGGGTTGGACGACACAATTCCCCCCAAATAACATCGGTCATTTGCTTTGCGGCCGTTCTCGGCGACGTTGACTGACAGCCCTGAACATCTACCGAACGCACAGTCACCGGGCTTCACAGTTAAAATCCCGCGAAGCGCTTCGAGAAGTCGTCCCAAAATGAGAGAGCGCGGCGTCAAACGCCAGGTTCGCTCATTTCGAGGGATGGCAAAGTTCTCCCTCGTCGATCTGCGGGGCACCCGGCTGAGTCTCGAGCGAGTCGAGTAGCAGCTCTCGCCAGTCGCTCTCTGACGACCAAGCTCTGAGCGGGTCTGATTCCTTGCTCCTCAATAGGCATGAGCGATGTCAAACTAATCTAAACCAGCGGGGCAATGGGGAGGAGGTGAGAAGATGCGCTCATTTTTCGGCGCATTTATGCCAAGCGAATGCACATTCAACCCAGGGGCTGTGTCCGTGTCCTGGAACACATCTGCCATTGTTTTTCCATCGAAGTCACTTATTCCAGTCGCTAGTTAACTATTTCCTCTCTCTCTCTATCTCGGCTTGCAAACTGCTGCTGCTGCTGAGCAGGAGGAGGAGGATGATGATAATAATAATAATCCTTGCATGTGATATGGTCGCCTCATCACGCCTTCGCGCCCTCTCAGAATGCGCTGCGTTTGACCAGGTGCTAATCGCCCATCACTCGAATTCCTTTCAGCTTAATATTCCTTGTGGGCGAAACGCGCAGTTGTATAGTTGCCTCTGTGTTGGACCATCTTCAGTCTCCGATCTGACTGCACAATAGGCCGACCTCTCGCTCAAAGGCGACGGCAATGGGGGAACTTCACAAGGAACAGTTACTGTTACTGAGGTTACTGAGGAGGGTCAGAACGGGTTAGGCGGTGGGGGCACAGAAAGCCAAAGCTTTGAAATAAGGGTCTGATTGAAACGGTGGCTTCACCCGAGGTTATTACTTTAGATCCGATCTGTCAATCATCAGCGAGGCTATTGACGAAATTCAGTGCTCGTTCCCCACCCCCTCCCCCCGTCCCCCCGTCCCCCCGTCCCCGTTCCCCCCCCCACCCTTTCCAATTCATTCACTACCCAGCTTTGCACTGCCTGGTACTGCAACACTGTTCCCTGTCCACTCAGTGCTGTTACCTGTACAACCTTTCGATGGACATTTCCTGGACATATTCCTCCCTGTCCACCTGCGTTATCCAGAGGGTCAAAGCGCTTTGTCCTTATCTCTTGACCGCAGTAGTCTGCCCGAGTACCAGATGCTCTCCAAGTGCTAAGTGGTGTCCTGTAGCTCAGCAGTTAGAGCACTCGCCTCGCAAGGGTCCGATGCCCGGGCAGGTAGGGCGAAATGTTGGGCAAGTTTCCTTACTCCACACACACACACGCGCGTGCGCGCCTCTGTTTACCCGGCAGTGAGTAGGAACCCGGTTGTTAGTCGATTGGCGCAATGCTTTCCGGGGGCAATAATCCCTCCAAAAAAATAAATAATAATAATTTGGTCACTCAATCCACGGCTGTTTGTGGGGGACGCTGCTGTGCGCAATTGGCTGTCGCGTTTCGCCCGCAAAATATACAGTCAATTCACTTTACAGTACATCCTGTGAGATGTGTCGACGACGTGATAAGGTACTATATCAAATCCAAGCATTGTTATCGTTACTGGTAAAAAAAAAAATCCTGTTTGGTTGCTCGGTTCGGCACTGGGAGAGAGGACTATTTTTTGAGTCTGTGGCTCAGCCATCTGTTCACGGGCAATGCAGCGGAACGAGGTTGCTCCCTGCGAAGCAAATTACCGCACGTCCTGTATTTTTAGAACGCGGAAACCCAAACTCAATCGGAGAAAACTGATGACCAAACTGTTCCGATCTGGAGCGAACGCTCCCGGCACTTAGCTTTAAAAGCCGACGCTGAGCGAGAGCACAGTTTAATGTGGCGCTAATGCCTTGGAATCCTTCTAATCAACCCCTTCGCGGTAGTAGACCCGCGCACAAAGGCCGTTTCAGCACAGGCGCCGCCGGGCGGTCGAATTCCGATCGTGCCTTTGATCTCCTGATATCTGACTTTGCAGCCTCAGAACTTCAAAGGGACTGGGGCGCAAGTGAACAGGAACGGGAAACACAAGTAGCCTGAAACAGCTGTGGTCGCGAATCAGGCGCTGTATCAAATGCAAGGATTATTATTACTAATGTTATTATCAGTGATCCTCCCGATTCATTTGGTCGTGGACCTTATGGATGTTGGTGGGACTCCCTTTCCCCTCACAAGAATGACAGTCACTGCACCTGACAGTAATTACTTGCTTTTGGAGGTTTTGCCGTGTTTTCTCCTCACTGAGAGCCGCTGAGGGTTAAAATTGTGCATCGAGTTCCAGCAAAACCAGTGAGCCTGAGAGAAAAATTAATCGGTGGTGGGTGGGGGTGTAGGAGGGTGGGGGGGGGGGTGCGCGGTGTGGGGAAAAACCATGAGGTGCAAACAGAAATCCCAATTTGTCCAAATCCCAGTGATCTTGATAAAATCCTTCCCGCATTTGCATTCCAATTTGGACTCCGAGATTTCTGACTGAACGCGTTCCAGATCAGGAGCAAATTCTCGGAATGACCTTTTTTTTTTCCTGGCAAGGCCGCTCAGCGGCAGAAATCCAACGAGGCTAGACCCTGCTCGTGCAGTCTTGGGCTTAAAACCTCCTTCATTTCCATGGCATTAATCTCAGCGTTCACTTGTGCAATGATGCATTATTATTTTTTTTTCCCCCCACAGCATCTCGGTGCTGCCTCAGTAGAGATATTCTGCTCCCTGTGTTGAGGCGGTTTTTTTTTCCTCTCGCACTGACTGATCGCAAATGGTATTTAAATTGCATGCAAATGTCACTCTAATGTATTCAAATTAATAACACGGTGTCGTACACAGCGCTGGGCTCCAGGCTGGTGGAGAGTCGGGAGGAGAGACTGAGGCATCACCAGAAGCAATCAGGCCCAGGGGGAAACAGAGCAAGGCTTGTTTGCGTGAGTGCGGCGCTCGGAAGTTCCTTGACACGGAAGTAACGTGGAACAAGGTCCAGGAAGAGGCCATTCAGCCCCTCGGGCCTGTTCCGCCATTCCTGGCCGATTTGGAGCTCAACTCCAAATACCCGCCTTTGCACCATATCCCTTGATGCCCTGATCTGACCAACGTCCATCCACCTCAGTCTTGAAAATGTGAATAGACGGATCCAGCCCATAATCCACAACCTTTTGGGGGTAAAAGGAGAGAGTTCCATATCTCCACGACCCTACGTTGTGAAAAAAACGGCTTCCTGATTTCACTCCTATATGGCCCGGCTCTGATTTTAATACTTGCCCCCCCCCACCCCGGCACCCACCCGCCCACCCACCCACCAGAGGAAATAGTTTCTCTGTAGCTACCGTATCAAATCCCAACAACAACTTGCATTTACGTAGAGCCCTTCACCCAGGATTGCGTCCCAGAACGCTCCAGCTAAGAATATATGGGTTGGCCTCAGTTGACCAAAGCCAAGAGAGAGAGAGAGAAACACACAGGAGAAAGTGACCGAGGTTAAAGGGATTCTGCTTCTGTGACCGACAAGGTACAGACTTGGACCGAGACGAGGGAAGGCGCACAGAGAGTTGAGACTGAATTGGGTTCCTTTATGCAGTTAACGTGGCGAGCGATGGAGGCAGATTAGCTCAGCAAATTCACGTGGGAATCTGATAGCCGCTGTACTTAGTGAAGAAATTGATTGAGGGAGAGTGCCAGAGGTGGAGAGGGGCGGTGGGATTAGTTTGCGTTGGCCTTTGCTGTTCCCTCTTGAGCGTCAGAAAGGAAGGCCGGGGAGTGGGGAGGTTTGGGACTCGGACAGAATGTGAGTTGATAATTCTGCGGTCATCCATCTGCTCGGTCCAGCGAAGGATTATAGAGGTTTAACAATGGGGCTTCTAACCCCCCCCGCCCCCTCCCTCCTTCCCCCACTACCACCACCACCACCAAAGGGCAGATGTGTGTCTAAGAAACCGACCCATCTACCTTTAGAATTAAATACCAACCTCAAAGCCATTTGATACTGTGCGCTCGTGTTCAGGGGAACGCGAAGGGGGGGGGGAGGAGGAGGTGAGGAGGGGAGTGAAATACAGACAGATACCTCCAGTGTTCCTAACGAGAACAAGATACTGACTGCATTGTGACTGGCAATTGCCACTGGGGGTGAAGGCTGCCTTTGTGCTCTCTGTAAACTCCCTTTGGCTGAGGCTCGCAGGGTGACCACACGCAGGATGGGGTTAGTAACAGAACCCGAGCTTTGATCGCCGGTGACCTTCAGTGGATTTCTGTAGCTCAGTTGCTTAGAGCGCTCGGCTCGCAAGCGAGAGGACCTGGGTTCGATTCCCGGGCGGGTCAGGGCGAAACTTGAGTTTCCTCACTCCGCACGTCTCTGTTTTCCCAGCAGCGAGTAGGAACCCGGTCGTCAGTCGATTGGCGGATGGCTTTTCCGGGGGCTAATAATCCCTTCAATAAATAATAAGAATAATAACTTGGTCACTCAATCCACAGCTGTTGGTGGGGGACGCCGCCGTGTTTCGCCCACAAAACACACAGTCGATTCACCTTGCAGCGTATCCCGCGAAGCGCTTTGAGACGTCTCGAAGACGTGATCAGGCCCCGTATCAAATGCCAGGGTTATTACTGTTATTCTCCTCTCAGAAAAAGTTTCTGTGAAATTGTCTGCCACGTTTTTCGCTTTACCCCATGGAGCGATTTGAGACGCTTCGGTGCGATGAGTTTGTGTGTCAAACGCAGATGATTTATTTTCATTGGAAATGCTATATTATTTTAATCCCTTTCCTGTGTTTACTCATGTGGTTACGTCTTAAGGGACATAGTGTGTCTGGTAGGAGAGGAAAGGGAGAGACTGAATAATAATAATAATAATGCTGATAATCCTTGCATTTGATTTAGCGCCTTATCACGTTGTTGAAACGTCTCAAAGCGCTTCACAGAATATCCTGCAAAGCGAATCGACTGTGTATTTTGTGGGCGAAACATTTGGTGAACGTCATGTGGTTTCTTGCTGCTTGCCTCCAGGATTAGCCTTCCCCGTTCTCCTGATTCCCTTCGCCTTGGAGCTTCGAATAGATCATTCGTGACAAGGTCAGGATTAGCGGTTCCATAATTTGATGACAGATGAAAGGGTCAGGTTGTAGGAGGCCAGAGGGCGGAGGGCGGCTGCACTTTGATGGTTAATGAGAAACCTTCACAAAGATCTCTCGAGCTCAAATCCCTCATGGTCTCTTGCTTTTTGTAAGATCATTTTGTCTCTCTCTCTCTCTCTCTTTCTCCCAGTCTCTGTCACCACCCCTCCCAATAAAACTGGCCACTCACTTCACAGCTGTCGTTTCCGCCCACGAAATACACAGTCACTCCGCTTTACAGCTGTGAAGGGCTTTGAGACGTTCTCAACCACGTGCCGAGGCGCTGCGGCAAATGCCAGGATTATTATCATCGCTGTGCAAAAATTCTTCAGTCATCCAATCTTAATTGAGAATCCGGTTAATTCTTTTTTTTTGAAGAACTTTCGCGAAAGGCCGACTCTCTTCCGAAGGCAAAAGACTTGAAGCCGGAATGGGCTCTGGTGGTGGGGGGTGTGGTTGGGGGGGGGGGGGAGGGGGTTAAGGCGCTTGAGGAATCATAGGATTACACAGCACAGAATGAGGCCATTCGGCCCTCTCTGAGAAGAACTACCCAAATCAATCCCACTCCCCCGAGCTCTCGCCCCAAACAATTAGCTAATGTCGGGCGAAGAAAGGGTTAAAAATTTGCCCTCAGATCATCATCGGTAACCAAAGGTCCCACTAATTAGGCGTTAATAACTCAATCGCCGCGCACCGATAGCTGGAAACACAAAGCCAGTACGGTGGACGTGAGCTGACGTGTTTGAAGGACGGATAGGGCTGTTTTTGCAGCGTCTCTTGAGTTCACCAGTGAAACCCTCCGAACATCTCTCGGCGTTTACATATTGCCAGGCCGGGGTGTTTGACAGCTGAGAGCCCTGGCCCTGATACTCGCAGTGCTTTAGATTAAGCGAGAGCGGAAAGATTAATTCGGAGATAAATTTTAAGAGCGGCAGCGAATTTATGAGGCGTTAAATGGCTTTTGTGCCCTGAGTATATGCTGAGCTCTGCAAAGCAAAGCACCAGTAGTGCTCAGAGCCAGATAATGCTAATTCTCTGCCCTCCTATCCTACAGCTTTTGATGTTTTTGCTTCCCTGTTTTGCCGCTGTTGGCCTGGTTCAGTCGCTCGCGCTCTCACCCTCTGCGCCGCAACATTTCGAGCCCTGTACGAAGACCCGCAGCTCACTCTCCCCTCCAACCTGTGGCTCTTAAAAAGATGCACAGCCGACCACAGCTCGCGTTTACACAGCGACGCGTAGGACGCTGAGCCACGTGAAGGGCGCTGGGTGAATGCAAGTTGTTGTTGAGGGTCTTCGGGCGCGACTGAGGATGGGTGGGGGGCTGGAGGAGGAAGGGAGGGAAGGTTAGAGATAGTCAATAGAGAAACAATTCCTCCCTCACCTGAAAAAAAAGGTCAAACAGACAAAAACCTCAACAGTGACACGTAAACTCCCGCCGCGATTCTTCCACCTTACGCCTAACCGTCCAATTTAACTCATTTGGACCCGACGTTGAAAGGGAGAGAGAGAGAGAGAGAGAGGGGGGGGATGGGGGGGACGGAGAGATACTCGCAACGCACGGATGAGACACGGGAACAAACCTCCTCGATCCGAATCGTTGACATTTCCAGTTTTTCCACGGGAGGCTAATAAGGTCGACACCACGACTGTTGTCGGGTACGCCGCTGTGCGCAGTCGGCTGCCGCGTTTCACCCACGAAACGCACGGTCAATTCAATTCGCAGCGTGTCCCGCGAAGCGCTTATATCAGAGGCAAGGATTATTATTATTATTATTATTATTATAATACGTTTTCCATCCGTCTCTGGCAATTTAGTAAAGTTGCGCTCGATTGCACTTGTGGAACGGTGTTGTGTTATTCTATTTGCTCCCCCTTTCACTGCAGATGGATCCGGTGCAAAAGGCCGTAATAAATCACACCTTCGGCATGGCGTTACCTCCGAAAAAGAAACAGGTCATCTCTTGCAATGTCTGCCACTTGAGGTTCAACTCCGAGGTGAGGTCTTCCATTCTCTCGGGACCATCTCTTCCCCCCCCCACCCACCCACCCACCCACCCACCCACCCTCCCACCCACCCCGGGACCAAATCCATCGGATATCAATAGCAGGCGACAATAAACAATAATAATCCTTGCATTTTGTTCCAGCGCCTTATCACATCTTCGAGACGTTCTCAAAGCGCTTCGCAGGATACACCGTAAAGCGGAGTGACTGTATATTTGGTGGGCGAAACGCGGCAGCCAATTGCGCACAGCGGCGTCCCCCCCCCACACACACACAAACAGCCGTGGATCGAAGCGAGCAAATTATTATAATTATCTTTTTTTGGAGGGATTATTACCCCCGGAAAAGCGATTCCCCAATCGACTGACAACCGGGTTCCTGCTCGGTAAAAAGAGGCGCGCACGCGTGTGTGTGTGTGTGTGTGTGTGTGTGGAGTAAGGAAACTTGCCCAACATTTCGCCCCCACACGCTCAGGAATCGAACCCGGGTCCTCTCGCTTTTTGTTTGAACAGCCATTCCTTTCTCTCTCTCTCTCTCTCTCTCTCTCTCTCTCTGTTCTCATCGGAAAGCGTCGTAACTTCGGTACTTGACGTAGAGTGATCACAGATCGAATTTACGTTAACGCTTTCTCTGCAGCTAATTTCATTCATTCACTGAAATCACCTTCGGAACAGCAACGCGGCGGAAATATCCTCGTATCGCTCAATCCTTTTTTTTCTGTCTTTCCCTCCTCGTTGAATTTCCACGGTTAAACCCGCCAGATAATTAGCATTTTTATGGCCGGAATGGTATTTTATGGCGTCCTAATGAACTGTGAAGGAGCTCCATGATAAAGGAATCAGCGACTGATGCAATAAAAAAACGCCAGAGATCTGTTTCGTTGAAACCGAAGCCAATTTAATGACAATGAATGATGAGAAAGGCATTAATAGATTCCGTCTCTCAGTCAGAGGAGGGACAGGAGTCCACTGATTTCCTAAAGGTGGCGATTTAAGCTTTTAACGGCTGAATGATGTGGCCTAAGAGAATCGCCTCATCATTTTACGGTCAGCAATCCGACATTTCTGAGTCCAAAAAGCCAACGCAGACCAACCAGACCTGATATGTGAGCAATTATTAATAATAATAGTAATAATAATAATTCTCGCACTTGATGTAGCTCCTCATCACGTGGTTGAAACGTCTCAAAGCGCTTCACGGGAATATATTGTGAAGCGAACTGACTGTGTATTTTGCGGGCGAAACGCGGCGGCACAGCAGCGTCCCCACAAGCAGTCGTGGAATTGAGTGACCACGTGATTCTTTTTTTTGGGGGGGTGGGGGGAGGAGGTGGGGGGGAGCAATTATTACCCCCGATTTCTTTCAACTTTTGATCCGGTCCTAACAGCGTGGAAACTTCAGGGTAATGCCAATTACTCTTACACAGCGTCTTCCACGTCGAGCTGGACAGTCAGGGATTTGGACCCGAGCAGGGGGTTGGGATCAGGAGAGGTGGGGGGCAGGGAGGGTAGGGGTTGGGGGGTTAGGGGGTTAGGGGGTAGGAGGGTGACAGAAGGTGCGGTCGAAGAGGAGGAGGTTGCGTGAGCCATCGCGGCTGTGTTGGTTCTTAAGCCTTCCCTTTCCCTACACTCCCACACACACACACACACACAAACAACAACAACAACATTACATTTGTAAAGCGCCTTTCAAGTCGGGAGGACGTCCCAAGGCACTGGACAGACAGAGTTACGGATCCGAGCTGAGGGTCGGGGTGGTGGTGGGGTGGGGTGGGGGGGTGGGGGGGGGTGGAGAAACACACACACACACACACACACACACGACCTTCTACATGTCTCTGTTGCAGATGATTTGAGCGATGTCTGGGTGGTGTGGGACCAACACTCAGCCACACACCCCGGGATAATGGAATCTCTTGAGCATCGCTGGGAAATCCCAAAAGGGGAATCCCGACCCCCCCCCAAAACCCTCAGCGTCCGGTGATAAATAACCCATCCCCAGCGACTGTCATACGCTGCGACTAATAACACGTTCGCTTCCGCAAAAACAGTTCCAAATCACGATCGGGGGCTTGAAAATAAATACCTCGGGGGGAGCCTTTTGTACGTAATCCTTGTCAGTCTACCAAGGTTTATTCTTGCTCCCCAGCGGAACCCGCTCCTGCTGTAACCCTCTGATGGTCAGGTGCACGGAAAGGCCAACGGGACCTAAAACACCGGGAGGAGCATGTTATGGGGTTTTTCCCGAAGCTTAACGGGCCCCGGGGCCAAGCACTTGAGGAATGTTTCGGCCGCCAAACACAAATCAGTCGATCCGCTCCGCGGTACATCCCGTGACACGTTCCGAGACGTCTCGAAACGACGCGATAAGACTCTTTATCAAATGCAAGGGTTATTATGGGGTGCAAGTCCACTGTGAGCCCCCACACACCCACTTACACACACACACCCCCACCACCAAAATGGTTTATATATCTATATTACATAATGTAGCCAACAGCAGAAAGAATCAGTGACTAATTTGGTGCAGAAGAAGGCTATTTGGCTAATTCTGACTGTCCTGCCCTCCACTAAGAGCTGTGCGTGGAGACCCACTGCTGTGCCTTTCCCCCCGTACCCTCTTCATTGGGTGCTTTGCTCTGGTTTTTTTCCTCTGCCTTGCCCCCCCCCTTCCTTCCTTCCTTCTTTCCTTCCTTCCCCATCTTCAGGTCGTGCCCGAAGACCTCCCTCTTCGACCGTGCAACACAAGTTGCTGTTGTTGTTTGCTTGAGTAATACGCAGTCTGCCCTCAAAACATTACAGCGGGGTTTTTAAACCATCCCTTTCTACTCGCAGTGAGTTCTGCCTCTCTTTCTCTTTCTCTTTCTCTTTCTCTTTCTCTCTCGATCGACCAGCATGGCCCCTTGCATACAAATCACACTCAGGGGCTACAGTCCGTGGGATAAAATGTCAGTTCAATTATTTTTCACACGTCAGCGATCCATTGCGGGTTCTGGCAAAGGCTGAGCGCCGACTGTAAAAACATCCCCACCGACGGGTTGTGTGTAGCGGATCATCCCCAGTCCTCTGTTATATCACTCTACAATTCCACCAACGCTGTGTCGTCGGTGGAATTGTAGAGTTTCGATGCTTGTGCAAAACGGAGGGTTTTATTATTTTTCTTCGGGAGCAATATTTAGGTTCGAATGCGATTCGCTGGGATGGTGAAGCTGGGAGATTGGGGGACGGTGGCGGGGGGGGGGGGGGTGGGGAGAGGGGGCGGAGAGGAGGTTCTTGCTGTTTGTGGTGAATGCTCCCGTACTTTATTACGTGTTCCCTGCGTGCGAGTCGGTGAGGATAATTTGGCCGCTTCGATCCCCGACTGTTTGCGGGCGCGATTAGGCTGCGGCCGTTCTCCCGCGCAAAATACACAGTCGTTCCACTTGACGCTATATCCCGCGAAGCGCTTTGAGACGTCTCTCGAAGGACGCGATGAGGCGCTGCATCAAATGCCAGGATTATTATTATTCTTATTATTATTATTATCAGGAAAAATAGACAACACATACGAAGTTGAAACAGACGAGTGCGTGGTGATGTTATACGCCGGTTAGGACGACCGCGGCTTCTGTCCTTTGACTGATCTGTTTGCCTTGTTTTCCTTTCCGTAGAACCAAGCGGAGGCTCACTATAGAGGCCATAAGCACGCCCGGAAGCTCAAAGCACTGGAGGCGTTGAAAAACAAGCAGAAAGCGTCGGCCAAAGAGGACACAGCCACTCAACCCGACCACAGTCTCGAGGACGCTATGAGCGATCCAGAGAAGACAGGTGAGCGCGTTAGCCTTCGTGCCTGTACTGGCTCTGTCAGCGCGGAGAGGGGGGGGGCGGGGGCGGGTGGGTAGAATTGCCGTAAACACACAGTCGCAGCCCGAGATACTCGACAACATGCTGAGGCAGGGTATCCAATAATAATAATAATAATACTCCTTACATTTGATACAGCGCCTTATCACGTCTTCGAGACGTCTCAAAGCGCTTCCACCGGATACACCGTAAAGTGAATCGGAGAGGGAAAGCAGGAGAATGGGACTAATCGTTGAGACCTTACACAGATCCCGCATACAAAACACGATGGGCTGAATGACCTACTTCGGTGCTGTAAATCTGCACGGTGGAATACAAAGTGATTCACAGGGTTTAGTGTAAGCTGAAGTGACCGTGCTTGTAGTAGGTTGAGCAGCCCGATTCACAACGCGGCAATTTTTTTAAGCGTCACAAATCACTCGCCTCTCTCTCTCTCTCTCTCTCTCTCTCCCTGCGTCCCTCTCACCTCCACAAAAACCTTCCGGCAATTGGACGAGCGCGAGTGCACGGGCCAGAGTCTCCCCGCGGCCCTTGTCCGTCGTGTCTCGCTGTGGCTCACCCAGTTTGGTGGGAGGGTGACCTTTGCTGTCACTTTTTCCCTGACTCAGGATTTCAGGGAAATCACAGTGAAAGGTGTCGAGGTCCTTCACTCCTACACAACCAGGCAATCGTGCATGTTTGCCTCTCCGCTCAGCCAGCATTTCCTTGTCAGAGTTTATATCCACGCCGGCAGGAATTCAGCTGCGAAGTTGGCTTCGCGTTAGAATAATAATAACAACAATAATAATAATCCTCACGTTTGACACAGCGCCTCATCGCGTCCTCGAGACGTCTCAAAGCGCTTCCACCGGATACACCGTTAAGTGAATTGACTGTATATTTTGTGGGTGAAACGCGGCAGCCGATTGCGCGCAGCGGCGGCCCCCGCAAACAGCCGTGGATCGAGCGACCACATTTTTTGGTGGGCGGAGCGGGGATTGAGGGGTGGTGGTGGTGGTGGTGGTGGAGGGGGGTGTGTGCGGAGAGATTATCACCCCATATTTGTTTGAAATGCGGCAGCCAGTTACGGGATCCAAATCAAGGGAACGATCTCTGGAAATTCAACGTCAGCAAATAAGATCAGAAAGATATCCCTTTGGCCCCGGAGGACCAGGAGCGCAGTGTCACTGGAGGCTTTGCCGAAGGTTTCTCCAAACTCTTGTCAGGGCAGCTGCCACGGGTGAGGGGGTGACCGCCTGATACCGCTGGGGTTATTGGGTGACATCGAGTGCTTTGGGAACGCGATATAAATGCGAGTCGTTGCTGGCCTCGCTCCTTCTCGGGGTGGTGGAGGGGTGGGGGGGGGGGGTCCAACTCAGAACGACGAGCAAATACCGCAGGTATTAAGGCGAGATGCTAATCTGCAAGTGCAATTACAGCGTCACGTTAGAACAGTGGACAGCTGCTTTACATTGGAAACTAAACCCGACCCCATCCATTTTCACTGACGTGGGAACGCGTGGGGCTTCTTGCCTCAGTTGCTCCCGACACGTGGTGAAGCCGGGCCTGATGCGCGCTAACGATCGCTACGCCCGGACACTCCAGGATAGGACAGTCCCGATTGGATTGGGACTCTGCCCTGTGCGAGAGGGGACTGGATAACAGCGAGGAGGTGGTGGCGGGGGGGGGGGGGGGGGGAGAGGGGGTTTAAACCCAGGCTTGTGTTTATTTCCCTCGCCCACCACCAACCTCCACTCAACCCCCTCCACGTTCTCTGTTTATCGCGTGGTGGGTTAAGTCGATTGAAATAAAGAAGAGAGAGAGAGAGAGAGTAAAGGAAGGAGCTCGGGGCCAATTACACCGGTACAAACTCAGAGCCGGTTGTTAACGGACTTGCCCGCCAAACATACAGTCGCTGCGCTTTACGGGGAAGCTCTTCGAGGCGTCTCCCGTTGTTCCGGTTAACCACCGCGCGGCCGAGTGACTGACGCTCGCCGATCTCCGCAGACGATTGCCCGGCGGGGAAAGCCACGGACGAAACGACGGGCGGCTCTCCGTCCCCGAGACCGGGCTCCGAGGTGTCGACGGAGGAGCCCGCCGCCCCTTCCTCGTCCTCGGCCTCCTCCCGCTCGGAAGCCGCCTGCGGGGCTCCGGAGGACGGGGGGCCGGAGCTCCCGGCCGCGGTTCCGGCCGTCGCGGAGACCGCCGCGGGCGAAAGCGGCGAGGTGGGAGTGGCTTCGCCCCCCGAGGGCGAGAAGGAGGGTGACAAACCCAAGCGGCAGCTCTACTGCGGGGTCTGCAAAGTGACCGTCAATTCCGTCTCGCAGCTCGAAGCGCACAACAACGGTAGGTCCCGGCCCTCGTGGCTTTACGCCGGTCGCTGGCCGATCGCGGGGGCTCCCGTGGCCAAGTGGTCAGCGCGCTCTCGCCTCGCAAGCGAGAAGGTTATAACCCTCCCCCCACCCACCCCCCACCACCCCATCCCCGGCTTTGATTCTCGGGCGAAACCCCTTAGGCGTGTTTCCTTACTACACATGCACACCCACACCCACACACACACACATGTGAGTGCAGGGGAAAGAAGGGAACGACTGTACGGAAGCAGGCAACCAAACAAAGAGGAGAGCCTGCGAGCTGGACCTAAAAACCGCCCCCACCAATCTCAGACGTTTTCACGAGAGAACGGACCCGTTTCAGCCCGGCCGATCGTGGCGATGGGTTTCTGGGCGCGCGTGTGTGTGTCTGACACCCGGCCGATCACGGCGACGGGTTTCCACGTGTGTCCTACCCCTTGATACCCTCCGTGTCCTCCACCCCTTCCCGGTCCCAACCCCCAGTCCAGGTCCAAATCCCTGGCAGTCCAACGCCGTTGGGAAGTCCTCCCGACGTGAAAGGGCGCTGTGTAAATAGAGTCTCTTGTTGTTGTGGTGGTGGTGGTTGTTGTCAAGACACCCCACCGATCGCGGTGTTGGGGTTCCGGGTGTTCTCAGACACCCGGTTTCCGCCTGTGTCAGTGTTACTGATTTGCTCCTGCGCCTGCATTCCAGGGTCCAAACACAAGTCGATGCTCGAGGGTCAGAACAGTCACCACCGAAGGAACCGCTTGAAACTGTTCCCTCGGACTTTGTACAAAACCAAACGCATTGGCAATAAAGGGAGCGTCGGGTTGCAGAGCAAAGCCTTCCACTGTAACATCTGTGAGATATACGTCAACTCCGAAACCCAACTCAAACAGGTGAGTCTCGCTTGTCCCTCGTGCCCTCCGTTCCACCATCAGCCACTGCGCCCCGAAACTCTGCTACCCTCTCCCTCTCTCGCCTCCGCCTTGCCCCTCCTTTCCCCGACCCCCACCGTCCATTCGACCGTGCCTACGGTCACCTCCCCCTCCCCCCCCCCCCCCCCACCCCAGCTCGCTGATATTGCTTAGATGAGGGGTTTGACCCTTCGCCCGTTCGGAAGGGATATTAATGCACCCGTGACACCATTGTGGGGGTGGGGGTAGGGTTGAGGGGGGACAAGATAGCACGTTCTTCCTGATGCCCCGGACAGCAATCCAGGCTGATCCCTCAGTGATCTCACCACAGCTGTTTGTAGGAATGCAACCCTTGCTGTTTTGCACCGTGAAGCACTTTGAGCCGTGAGAAGGTTAAGAGTCTCCTCACACCCTCCTGATAGGTGCTAATTGGTGGGTTTAGCCCGAATGGTGTTTCTTACGTCCGAAGACTTGCAACCCGACCCCTCTGAGCTTTTTTTCTTGTGCGATCTTCCCTGCGTTTGAGGGTTTCCGAACCTACCTGAACCTACCTGACCGAGAGTTCCCAGGTGTGTTTGCCACTCTTCCCTGTGTCTGGAATGGATTGAGCAGTCTCTCTAGAGAGCCACAAGGGGTGGGGACCCCAAGAGCGTGGGCTGGGGTGGGGGGGGGGGGGGGGCGGGAGGCGGGAAGTGGGGGTATGTAAAGTGAACCGTTAAGGTCTCTGAGGCATTGATGTTCTGTTCTGTCGGATTGTTCCCAAAGCGCAGTAATATATGTCAAAGAAAGATCAATGTGCAATACTTCTGGGACACACAAACCTCTTACAGGTCATCATTGACAATGCTCTTTGATAGAACGCAGGTGGATGGCTTGGATGTGCCTGACGTTGATACCACTTCAAGTGGTCCAAAGTGGCTTTTTTGTTAACATAGACGCAACAGCCGTTTTACGCACGTTAAGCTCCCCCCCGCCGCCGCCCCCGCGCCCCCAAAGGAGGTGTGAACCAGTTGACGTTAATCTCGCACGTTAATTAATTAATCTGGAGAGTTAATCTGGAGAAATTTGCCTCTCTTCACAATTACCTCCATTGGATCTTAAACCTCTACTTCCAATAATCCGGAGTTCACTCTGGTTTGCCCTGGAGCTTCATCCTCGTTTATAACAACGACGACGACAACAACAACAACAAAATGGCTGCCGTGTTTCGCCCACGACATATACAGTCAATTCACTTGACGGTATATTCCCGTGAAGCGCTTTGAGACTTCTCTCAAAGACGTGATAAGGCGCTGTATCAAATGCCAGGATTATTATTATTATTATTTGAGCTTATATCGTCATTGGGGATGGAGGCGTTGACCCCCAACTTTCTGCCTCAGAGGCGAGAGCATTACCCAACCGAGAGCTACCCTTCCTTCAAGTTTATAATCAGTTGTGTTTGATCCTCAGCACATGACCAGTAGGCGACACAAGGAGAGGCTGACTGGGAGGCCATCCAAACCCAAGTTTAGTCCCTACACAAAGCTCCAGCAGACAGCGGCATTGGTGGTGAGTCCTCTGGTCCGGGCGTCGTTCACGTGTAAACGTCCTTCGTGTAACTGGGAGGGTATGTGTGTGTGTGAGAGAGAGAGTGTGTGTGTGTATGAGGGAGTGTGTGTGAGTGTCTGTGTGAGTGTGTGTGAGAGAATGTGTGTGTGAGAGTGTGTGAGAGAGAGGGAGTGTGTGAGGGAGTGTGTGTGTGTGTGTGTGTGAGAGAGTGTGTGTGTGAGAGAGAGTGTGTGTATGAGAGTACGTGTGTGTGAGTGTAGGTGTGTGAGAGTGCGCGTGTGAGAGTGCGTGAGTGTGAGAGAGAGAGTGAGAGTCAGAGAGTGGGTGTGCGAGTGCGTGTAGAGCCAACAAGGTGTGCAGACTCCCAGAGTGTGGGGTGGGGGGGGTGGGGGGGGGCCGGGGGGCGGAATAACTGCTGAAATTCAACCAGCTAAACCCTCACGGCTTACCATTGCCATTGCCATTGAGGCAAAGGTTCCCTTGAGCTCCACCACACGACCTGCAAAACCCTAACGCTGCTTTTTTCTCACTCTCTCTCTCTCTCTCTATCTCTCTCTCTCTCTCTATCTCTCTCTCCCTCTTTGCTTTCAGACGAAGCTGGCTTTTCAGAAACACCTGGCAAAGCCGATGGCCACCGGTTTCTTACCGAACCCTCTGACGGCCGCCGCGGTCTGCGCTTTGCCAAACGGCCTCACGCTCAGGCCAACCACCACCCTCTTCCAGACCCCCATCCTGGGACCAGCCTTCTTCAGAGCCGCCCCAGGACCTCTGAGGACCGCTCCCACCTCCTTCCTGTTCGCGCCGTATTGACTCATCTCTCTGATTTTCAGGGTTCAGTTCGTTGAGACATTTTTTCTGGGGAGAGAGACACAAAAAATACAAGCAACAGCTACAGGAAAGGGAACTATGCAGTTGTTCACGAGAACATCTCTAAGTTATGCAGGGCAGAGAATTCTGCCTCCTCGCTTATATAAAAGAAAAAAAATGGTATTATTATTATTTAGCAGTTTTTATACTGCGGATCTATTTAGACGAACCTTGTATTATAACAATATGGTTTCAGTGAAGAGAAGAAAAGACACTGTTACAGAACTGATGTAGACATACTTAGATTTGCAGTAGAACCATAAGAGACCCCCAGTCTCTTTTTTTTGCACAATATTTTTGTGATATCTTTAATGTGCGTCAGTCACTGGCTGGGCGAGGTATTCTGTGTGAGAGGTGTTTATATCTATATATATATATAGAGAGAGAGAGAGAGAGAGAGAAGGAGAGGGTGGGGGTGGGGGGAAAGAACAGAAAGGGGGGAAATATCAAAGAAAAAAACTAAGGAAAAGTATTTTTAAAACCCAAATGTTTTTGCCGCGGTGACGGGGAAAAAATATCGGCTTTGCGGTGAGCCGGGATGAGACAAATGCTGAGCGTAGAACAGGACACAAAGGCGCCCCCTTCTTCTCCCTTACCAGCCCACCCTCCCACCTCCTTCTCCCCCACATACCCCCCCCACACATACCCCACCCCCCCACCCACCACCACCACCACCACAACCTGCCCCGCTTCACCAGACTGATTAAACAAAATAACGAGAAGTTCCCGAGAAATAAAAAGGAAAAACTATTGAAAGAAATATTAAAACCAATTTCGAGGGACTCTTTGTATGGAGTTGGTTCTGCCGTCTCCTCTCAAATACATTGGGTTACTTTACCGCACGACCAAACCGGCTCCTTGGATTTAGATTGGGGGGAAAGGGAGGGGGTCGTGGGGGGAGAGATAATACTAACAGGTTCTCGGATACATTTGATCTGGAATAACTTTCAAAGCTAATCGTTTGGTTCGGTTAAAACATAGTTAAATATGTTCAGCCCATTATTGTTCAGGGGCCTGTGTGTGCTTTGACGTTGGATTCATTTACAAACTTCTGAAAGCCTCCATCGCAGAGCGATGTTTCGTACCTCAGCTCGTGGCTGTACACTTTTCTTCCCTTCACTGTTATTTTTGCTCCGTCCGAAGGTTGAGTCGACGGAATCAATCGGGGTGTTTAAAAGGGAGTTTTGGGGTGGTGGGAGGGGGGTGAGGGGGTGGGGGGAGCGCGGGGATTAAAAGCGTTCGGGGTAAAAAAGCAGGGAATAAATGGGATTAAAAGATCTTCTGTTGTGATCTAAGACTATCAGGACAGGCTCGAGGGGCTGAATGGCCTCCTCCTGTTCCAAGCAATACGAGTGTCTAAGGCCACAAATACTATATGCATTCTACTTTTTTATAATCGTTCCAATGTCTTTCAACTGGATCCGTTTCAACACTTGGCTTCTCTACTGGATGGAGGTTTAAGGCGCGGGGCAAAGCTACAGGGCTTTGACTTGTCTTACTGTGCCCACTTTGCCACGAGGGTATCACAGGCCTCTGATGTGACACGAGAGTCATTCGGCCAGATCTGCACTTACACGTGGGCCTCGAGAGGACAAAAACCTGGAGGAAGGTATTGCTACAGGAGCCCTTCTGGACATCTTGGGTAAAGGAAACACTGGAACAAGCAGACCAGCAGGTCACAGCCTTGTCTAAGCCCAATTGGAGCTACAGTTGAGCCAAGCAACAACAACAACAACAACAAATGACATTTACGCACAACGCCTTTCACCTCAGGAGGACGTCCCAAGGCGCTGGATCTGCACCCGAGCTGGTGGCTGGGATCAGGAGGATGGGGAAGGCACCAGCGGTGGAAGATGCAAGGGGTGCGGAGGAGGTCAGGTCAAGGCTTGGCTTCGATTCCCGTCCTACTGACGACTTACTTTCTAGGCTAGCGAGTGAAAAGAGGCCCTCCTGGTTGGGGAGGGGTGGGGTGGGGTGGGGGGCAGGTACCTAGTGCTCGGAGCTGTACCACAGGGAATGAGAGGAGAAAAATTCAGAGGCGAGAACAGGGAAAAATACGCAGAAATTCACGACCAAGTCTTACTTGCGCTGTTGTGTTTCGAAGGTGTTTTTTTGGTGTCCTCATCGGGGCCTTTTTTTTTCTTCCCCTCTGCTAAGAAAAAGTACTAAAACGTTGGGTCTGTCTCGTCGCTAGTGGAACGCTAGAAAGCTAAATTGTTGCTGCGTTTAGTTTCTTCCCCACACTCGTCTAAATATGTTGTGAAGTTAACCCGGCCGTTGGTTCTACACAAACCCTCTCCCTGTGCAGCCACGGTTCTCGTGCGAGTCTGTTTTAGTTTTGTCGATAACATTCGAGCGAAAGGAATATATTATACCACGCGACTGTGTCGATAGAGACCCTTTGTCAGCCTGCACCCTGGAACCTCTGGAACCAGGTGAGCAGGGTGCATTCCTCTTGGGAGCGAGAGAAAGAGAGAGAGAGAGAGTGAGTGCGTATTCCATTCCAATACACGGGAATTTTCCAAACGGAGTCCCACGCATCCCCCACACGCACACATGTGCGTGACTCTGTTTGCCACGGAGACTCTTAAGCACGGTGATGGGTTTCCGTGTGTGTGTCAGACACCCGGCTGACCAAAATAAAATGGGCCCTCCCGAACCCCCCCCACCTACCCAACCCCTTCGCCCACCCACCCCACCACCCTTCAAAGCACTTCTTTATGATCTTTAGTGACTTTTTTAACCAAAACTCCCTTCCGCAGCTCCAGATGTACCAGTCGCTTCCTTCCTTAACGTGAGATTGAAATAAAACACTGTGAATATCATCTTGTTGACCTCCGGGACCTCGCGATGTTACCGTCAGGAGGTCATATAGTAGTTTTTCATGTGTGGCTGTGGTTACGTAATGGTGTTGTGTGACCACTTACATCCACACGGTTCAAATAACAAGCCAGGTATCGGGAATCGAAAGGGTGACATATCTCCCTTAAGGGTAGTCGTTGACATTATATCTCGAGAGAGAGAGAGAGAGAGAGAGAGAGAAAAAAAACAACACACGGAATAAGTGTTGAAAAGTATTTTGATAATAGCTATTTTTTGTCACCAGTGACCCCCATCTCCCTCGTGGAAAAAAAAAACAGGGTGGCGGGGGGACGGGTGAGCAAGCACTTGGATTAAAAAAAATGTATAATATTTCAAATTTAATAAATCAAATGCTGGTCTTCCACAAAACCAATCAAATCGCCGTTATTTTTTTGCGTTGGGGCCAGAAACGCACTCGTCGGAAGCATCCGTTAGTTAACACTGTCCTTTTTTTGCAGCACTCAAAAGCACACCCACGCGCGCGCGCCCGCACATGCTGTGATCTAAACGATGAGCAGTTATCAATGTCAAGCCTATTACGATAGCAATTATTAGCACGGAGGAAAAGCCAGTCAAACCCGGGCTCGGGTGGCAGTTCTCACGTTTCCTTTGCTGGAGGAACTCCGGACTCCAATCCCAATTCCACGCACTTCCGATTGCAATCCATCGCAAGATGTTTCATTCACGGTGCCATCGCAACGGGTCGAAAGGAACACGCACGCGTTTTTTTTTTTTTTCGACCAAAGTGAAATGTTTTGGCTTCGCTGGATTCAAGGATTTTCACTGAATATACTGTAAAGTGAACCGTAAAATGTCTGTCTTGTGGGCGAAACACAGCAGCCAATGGCGCGCAGCAGCGTCCCCTCGAACAGCCGTGGATTGAGTGGTTTCAACTCGAGACAATCATACTCTTAAGAGTCGGGGACAGAATTTCAAGCCTTTGGAGGCATTTGAAGCGAAACAATTTTGAAACGAGGTCTTTAGTCGAAAAAACATCTTTGGCGTTCAAACGCCTGTCACGAAAAGTGTTTCTCGAACCTCTTTCTGTTTGACGACCGCTGCTGGTGCTATTTGTGTGAAGCTGTGAGCCCGAATACCATGCAGACTTTCACAGCAATTCTCACAGAGAGCTATATATAAAAAAAAATCCCTTTGTCAGTCAAGAGAGGATGTGAATATATTGTGAGAAATGTTCCCCCCCCACACACACACCCGACACACACACGTACTCCCTGTCAAACATTATGAAACCTATTATTTGGAGAGGGTAAATAAAGGTCGATGAACCTCTAGAAATTGCGAATTGGCTTTTATAGTTAGATGAGCCTGACAGAGATCTGGTGTTCTTTAATGGCCCATGAAATGGATGCCCTTTGTTTACAGAGGCGAATCTGTTCCCTTCAGATGCCACGCAAAGGGTCGTGAGTGCTCGCTTTATTCACCACCCATCGCTGTCGATCAGGCCCTGTGCTTATTCCTTCGCTTTGATGTGAACCCAGTGGAAGACGAGCCGGGCAACAAGATGTTCAAGTGCTCTCGAGTACAACTTGCAGTTGACGCAGCGCCCTTTCATGGTGGCGGAGTGTTTGAAAGCGCCCTACGCTTCTTCCCTTGCTCCCGCCCGCCTCTGTTTACCGAGCAGTAAATAGGAACCCGGTTGTCGGTCAACCGCTGTGTGCGATCGCTTGCCGGGTTTCGCCCTCAAAACATACGCTCACTTTGCAGTTTATTCTGGGAAGCGCTTTGAGACGTCTCATCGACAGTGTCCCACAAACAGTCGTGGAATTAATTTTTGGGGAGTGGGGGGGGGAATTCTTACCCCCGGATCCACCAATTGACTAACGACCGGGTTCCTACTTACTGCCAGGTCAACAGACTGCTTAAAACTAGTCAAAAGTAACCAGAGCTTTCAAAGAAGCTTTGTCCCTTGAGGGTGGAGTCGGGTAATTTCACCCTAAGTAACAATCAGGTATCTCCACAGAATCTTTCCTGTGTCTTTTCATTCTCTTACAAAGCAATTCTCTCCAGGTTTCCCTCAAAAGAATCTCTCAATAATCCTCCCTTCCTTCAAAGGATCCACCCACATCCCTTCTTTCTGATGTGCGTCTTTTTTACTGAATAATACTACTCATAATTATGCTTCCATTCGATCTAATGCAATTGAATCAGCACTTTTTTTTAAAAGAAAGATAATAATAGATCTTGTTTGATTTGAAGCAAGTTTCTTATACGTTGCGTGCCTATCCTTTTATACCGGCATTATCTGATTAAGAGTCAAAAGTCAGTCCAAGACAAGTTTTTTTCTGAATCCTGTGGCAATTTAATCCCTCACCTATGACAAACAAAACTGGATTTAGCTCCAGGGCCATTCCTCTCATTGTGTTGTCGGTTCTTACTTAATCCCTGCCCTTTTTCTCGCTCTGTCCTCTGTGCTCGAATCTCGAGTTCCTGCCCTGAAGGCACTCCTGGTGGGAGTCGGGTTGAACGTTGGGGGGAGATTTTAAACCTCGCGTGCGTTCGGGAATCCATTGAG